CACACACACACACACACACACACACACACACACACACACACACACACACACACACGCAAACACACAAACACACACACACACACAAAAACACAAAAACACACACACACAAACACACTTTCACATACGCACACACCTCGCGTTCACATACGCATACACGTGCACACACACACACACACCATCCCAATCACCCACCCACCACCACCCCGCAGGTCTCCCTGCCTTCCTTCGACGCCGGCCTGCCTGCCTACTACGTCCTCGCGCTCTCCGAGGCCTCCTCCAACCTCTCCCGATTTGACGGCGTCCGCTACGGCCTGCGGGCGGAGGGCGCCAGCGGCCTCAAGGCTATGTACGACAACACGCGCGCGGCGGGGCTGGGGGCCGAGGTTAAGCGGCGAATCCTGATGGGCACGTACGCGCTGTCTGCGGGGTACTACGACGCTTACTACAACAGGGCGCAGAAGGTGAGCGGGCGCTGTGGTGGTGAAAGACTATGTGGGGGTTCACGTGCGTTTGTGTGAGCTTCCATGTGTGTATGTGTGTGCGCGCGCACCTGCGTGCGGGTGGATGTGTCTGTCGTGCAAGCGTGCAACCCCGCACATCACCGTGCACATGCGCACGCAAGCATCCAGGACGCGTGGCTCGCCTTCCCTTCCGCTGCAACTCGCCCCCGCCATGCACCCGCACCCGCTTCCACTCGCACTCAAACCCCTGAACAACAACGTACCCCTCCCCAAAATACGCCTCATTCTGCTTCCTTGCGGACCACGTTAAACACAGGTCCGCACCCTGGTGCAGCGGGGCATGACGTCAGCCCTGGAGCGCTTTGACCTGCTGCTCTCCCCCACGGCCCCCACGCCCGCCTACAAGATCGGGGAGAAGTCGAGCGATCCCTTGGAGATGTACAAGGGAGATCTCATGACAGTGAACCTCAACCTGTCAGGCCTGCCCGCCGTCGTGGTGCCCTGCGGGTTCGCGGAGGCGGATGGCGGCGGGAAGCTGCCCGTCGGGCTGCAGATGGTGGGGCGGATGTTTGGGGAGGCGGAGCTGCTGGCGGCGGCGCACGTGTACGAGCAGACGGCGGGGGTCATGGACGGCGCGGCGCCGGCGGTCGCGGCGGCGCCTGCAGCGGCGGCGGCCGCACGGCGGTGAGGCTGGGGGATCTGCTGGCGAACTGCAGCTTTTCTCACGGCTTTCTTTTGCTGATTCTATTGACACAAAAGAGTGCTCTCCATTGCTGAATCTATTTTGTCAATCAAAAGCAACAAGTGCAACAGTTGGCTGGAACGGCTTTTTATGTGCTAGTGCATTACCCCTGGCCCAAGCAAGGATTGCAACTTGGACTCTGAAGCAGGTCAGCGCACGGTGGTGGGACGCCTGGTTGGGACCCGTCGCACATGGGTTCCTGCGGCTGCCGCAGGCGTGGATCGAACTGAGGCCACTGAGGTCAAATCGGAGCGTGTGCTGCAGCTGCACCACTGCAGCCAGTCTCATGCCAAGGTCCCATCACATGCGGGCAACCCAGAGGGATCGTCCTTCACTCCCACATGGAAGGGAGCTCATGGCCCAGCCTGCCGCAGGCTTGCGCCGCCGTTGGCACGGAGCGGCCGGTGCCACTGATTCCTGCGCTTCACGTACGACTCTCTTCAGAGCGTACAAATCGCAAGGAGTGAGACCCACGGACTGCACTCCGTTGGGTGTGCATTACACAAGCAGCAGCCACACTGTCAACGCGTTGTGATGCGGTAGACAACAGCAGGGGCAGCCCCAGCAAGTGCCATCTATTCATAATCCAATGCTCATCCCATTTGCAGCTGGCGCGCGTGGCAACGACGGCGGCAGCAGCGGCGGCAGCAGCAGCAGCAGCAGCAACAAAAAACGCCAGAGGTTGGCCGGAACGTCCACAAGGCAGCTGGGGGCAACGGGCGTGCCTGACGGGAATCAGGAGCGCCGCCAGTCCGCCACCTACCGCCAGCGGAGTCATCAAGGGGTGGCGGACGGCTGCACACACCTGTGAATGGCGCCTCAGCTCTGCTAAACTGCATTGGTGCTGCAGAGCGGCCCAGGCCGCCGGTGTTTGCCATAAACACCTCAGTGTATTATCAAAAACAGCAGCAGCAAACAAAGTACCTAGCCCCCTCCTCGCGTCGGGCGCCGCCCTCCGGCCTGCGGTCGCGGAGATATCTCAGCAAATATCCCGTCCAGCCCGCTGCCGCCGCCACCGCCGCCGCCGCCGCCCGCAGCGCCGCCGCCCCCGTCGCTGCTGCCGCCGGCGCCGGCAGTGCCGAGCGCGCTGGCCGTGCGAATGCTGTCGCTGCTCGCGGCCAGGGGGCTGCCGCTCGTGGTGTACCTTTGACGGCGGGCGCGAGTCGATCAGTGTGGGCAGGGCGTCAGCGCTGTGTAGTTGCATCAACAAGATTTTGCTTTTAAAACCTCAGGCACACGGATACTTCCAGTCTATCAGCTGACTCAATAACCTTATGATATTGGGCTTGCAGAAGAAGCATCACAATAAAAAACAGACAGAAGGTGAGCTGGGCTGCAACCCACTTGTTTTTGATCAGAGAGGACAGGAGGCCTCCGCCGCCGCCACCAGCAGCACGTGGCGCCTCGTCGCTGCGGGCGCCGCCAAACAGCGGCGCGCGCTCGGAGCTTGCCGCGGTGGCGGGTGGGGAGCCTGCGCCGTCGGCCCCGCCGCCGCGGCCGAAGTTGAACCAGCTCTTCTTGCGGGTCGGTTCTGATCAGGGGGTGGGGATGTCACAAGACGTCAGGGGCAGATGCAAAAGCGTAAACCATGCAGCACGTCATTCTATTTGCCAGTTGGCGTGCACCATGACAGAGATTTCTCCGCCAGCTGGATGTCCCCGCGAGCCGTGCAAGCTGCAACAGCCGCAAGCCCTGCCGGTTATCCCCAACAGCAGTGCCCCGGCATCCCTCGAAGCCGCCCCGCGGCTGCCCGCGACCCAGCAGCTGCCCGCGAGTCGCTGCCGCAACCAACACAGGCGCCTCGCGACGACAGCGCCAAACATGCCCCAGGCCGCGCCGTGCCGCCGCCGCGCCGCCGCCGCACGGTGGAAAAGCTCACTCTTGACGGGCCCCAGCCCCGGGAACTCCGCATCAATGGCGGCCGAATGCAGCACGTCGCCGATGCGCAGCCCGTTGGCTGCCGCCTCCAGCTCCTTCTTCAGCAGCCCTCGGCCCTGCTCTGTGTAGCGGTCATCCACGTCGTCACTGGGCAGGATAGGTATTGAGAACACGAGGGACTCAGGGGGATGGAGGAAGAGAAGGCGAGAGACGAGGGGGTTTGGGGGTTTTTGGGGTGCAGCGGTGTGGTGCTTGGGTTGGGTGCCAAGCGGTTGCCGTGCTGGTTGACGAGAAGAGAACGAGCGGCGTTGGGTGTGGTGATTTGGTCGTTTTTGAGGGGGTGTTGTGTGTGGTATACCCATGTGACTGCGGGGAGGGAGACAGCAGAAATTCCAGTGAATGTCTGGTGAGGGCAGCTGCCAATGGAGGCTTGACCCTCATCATGCATGACTCAAGGCCGCGACCGCTGCTCGTTGCGACGGCCCGGATCGACAGGTGCTCGGATGTTTGAACCGGGCGCGGCCGCACCTGTTGAAGCGGTACTTTGAGTTGACGCAGGAGGCTGTGATGCGGTCCCACAGCCGCAGGTAGATGAGGGCGCAGTGCACCATCAGCAGCACAGGCAGGTACACCTGGGAGAGGGGGGGGGGGGCGGGGGTAAACGACGCTGGTTTTGAGACCCATAGCTTGAAGAACCCAGGGGCTGCAAAACACAGGAATCAAAGACGTCGTTTGGAGGAAACACGGGGGTGGAGGAGCAGACGTGCTGCGTGTGCAGCCTGTGCCCGTCAGCAACCCTGCCGCTCCGCAAAGTGGGCTCGCCTTCTGGCAGGGTGTTGCGGGCCAGTGCGCCTGCAAAGGCTCCCCACCCGCCCTCGTCCTTATCCGCTTGTGCCCCCACGCCTTAATGATATGAATATAGTGACGCCGGCCCTCACGTTGAGGTGTTTGCCCAGCACTGGCAGCACCTCCATGGAGCCCATGTTCTTGGTGAACACAGTCATCTGCCCGTCCACTCCCGCATCCTGCGGCGCACGGACGGTGGTTTCAGATAGTCTTTAAAGGATTTTTAGCTTTGCTGTTCTCAACTCGTTGTCGCCGCAACGCCGGGGGGCTTTGGGGTGTGTGTGGTGGTGCGTGGTGGTGTGTGGGGTGGTGCTGTGCAATAGACAGGGTGTGGTGTGGTGCAGCGGTGTGTGGCGGCGTGGTGTGCGGCGGGGTGTGTGGTAGGGCGGTGGCGTGTTGTGGCGCGGCGTGTGGTGGCGTGGCGTGTGGTGCCGTGGGATGACGTGGAGGTGGTCAGTCGAAAGTCGCCTGGAGGTCAGCGGCGCCGCAGCTGCAGCGCGGCAAGCTCCTTGCGCAAGGGACGTGCGGGTCAGGCAGCAGGGCAATCAAGCATGGCACAGCTTGCGTTCTCACTGCCACGGGCAAATCGCCCTCTGGTTGAGGGTGGCGACGCACCATGTGGATCATGTGCAGGAGGTTCCAGCATGTGGCTGGGCCGAAACGGCACATGAGACTTCCGTTCTGCATCAGAGCCGCGCCAGTGGTGGCCCTGTGCAAGGGTCGGGCGTGGGGACATAGGGTTGGAGAGGGACATGAAGCGGGCACCTGGAGGGCAGGGGCGTGCATGCACTTCAGCTCTGTGCCATGGCAGAGTTGCATTCATTCTGCTGCTTGCAGCAATCCCAGGAGAAACACAGACACTCTCCCGTTCGAGAAGCGCACAGACATGCATGTATATGCACGCATGTGCATGCGCGCACACACACAAACACACTAGCTAACAATAACAGGCACAAACCCATAGAAACACACACCTCTTGTCTTCTTTGTCCCAAACACGACGCTCAGAGCATCCAAAGCACGACCCGGCCGCCCCCACCTGGGCAAGAGCTTGTTGTAGTCAAAGGCGTTGACCCTGAACAGCGCAAAATAGGTGGCCACACAGATGTAGGCCAGCGGCAGCGTCGTCAGCAGCTGCACGCCCCACTCACTCGACACCGCGGTCCTGCGAGTATAAGCAGTTGAGGTTAGAGCAATTGAGCCAATGGCAGGCAGGATTGAGGTGTTTGGGCACGGAGCTGCACGGCAAGTTTGCTGAAAAAGTGGCGGCGTTGGCTTTCCCAGGCTGCACAGGGCCGAGGCGCTCCGGTTCCCAAGAAAGGGCGCGCGCTTGCTCCACTTGCGCAGCCGCGTGGTTTGCCCTGGGGAGGGGGCGGCTGCGCGCCTGATTGCGAGGCTGAAGGGCGACAGGTCTGGGTCCTGCCCTGTGAAGATTGTGGCCTCGCTCCATATGATGACGAGGCTAAGGGCGCCCAGCAGCACGCCCACAACCTGGGGCGGCATCGGCAGGGGAAGAGAAGCGACCAGGGGGGCAAGGCTGGCACTACGGTCGCATTGCACAGCTCGGCTGATGGCGGGCGTGGCGCGCTGAGTGTCTTGCCGTGCATTCACCGTTGCACGTGTTTGCGGCGGCGCGCGTACAGGCATGTACTTCCACAGGGAGGATTGGCTGCATTCATTGGGCGACCCACACCACGCCTTCGAGTCAGGTTAGAGGGGGGGAACGAAGGGTGGCAGACTGGCCAGGAGGCCGCGGCTGAGTGGGAGCTTGTGCAGCCGTTGTCCCCTCACCCTTCGTACGTAGGGGTGGCACACGCAGCGGTATTGCCACAGCGCGCGGCCCCAAGCCGTGCCTGCGCGAGTGGTTGCAGGGGGACGCACCATATGAGGCGCCGCCGTGCGAGCATGTAGGGCGGCACAACCGGCAGGTTCAGCTGCAGCATGGGCGGCCGAGTGCGCTTGCATGTGCACACCCACTGCCCATTGAGAAGAATGGCGATGAGCCGTCCTGTGGAGCCAATTGAGCGATTGTCCAGGCGCTTCTTCGCAATCGCGTATCGCCACCGCCCCTGCCCTCCCGCTACCAGCTCACCCGCGCCGAGCGTCCCGGGGGGCGCATCGTACACGCGCCGCTCCCTGGACTTGACGACCTCTTGCAGCACGAGCGCCTGCGTCACAACCTGCGCAGTGGCGGGGCGCGGCCGCTGTCAGCCTGGCAGTTGGGCCCAACCAATCACCAGCTGGACGCTCTCTGATGCTCCCGTACTGGTATGGCTTGATGCACGAGGTCGCAGCACCTAGGGCCACACCATGTTGCCAATCACAGCACTCGTGCACAGGAACGTTGCAGGAGTTGTGGAGAGAATGAGGTGTTTTCATCACACGCAAACGCACACGCGCATGCACACAGCAAGCACTTGCTCTCACCCGCGAACACCACCCACCCGGCACGCACGCATGCGCAGCAATTACGCGCGCTCGCTTACACTATGCCAATCGCTCCTTCTCACCTCCTCGTACTGCGCGTGCGCGCCCTTGTAGTTGTGTATGGCCGCCGCCAACCTCCGCCTCAGCGCGGCCAGCCCCGCCATGTCGTAGTTGTATTCAAGGTCATCTGCGGCCAGGCGCTCGACGTCGATGGTGCGGCCGCTGACCTGGCGATTCAGGGTCGGGTTGCGCATAATGAGGCAGGTGATGGGTAGGCGGCTAGGCCCCTCTCTCGCTCTCCCACTCTCACACACACGCGCATGCACACACACACACACACACACACATACACACACACACACAACTCACAGCTTGCACAATCAGCTCAAATAGCTCACGCTCGTGCATATAAGACATACCTGCACAGTTCACGCACACAAACCCCACATCCACAGGATTGAGGAACGCACGTACACTTGCGCACCGCGCTGGGCTTGACAGGGCTCTCCGCCTCTGCAAACGCCGCGATGACCTCCATGTACGGCCTCAGGGGGTCCCGCCGCGGCATCTGCTTCTCGTTGGCGCATATGATGGTCACAACCGCCTCCAGCTCAGCAGTGGTCTTCAACACATCGGCGGCAAACCGCCCGGTCCTTCAAAATTTGAGGGGGGCCACCAAGGAGTGCTGTTGGTGCGGCTCGCACTCAGGCCATTCCACTGCGCTGCTTGGAGGGTCTGCCCATGGCTTGCTGCTCTGCAGCTGCTCGAGCTCTGGTCCAAACCCAAGCCTCAGCGCCAACACTGCGTCGACCACAAACAAGAACAGCCCCGCCGCCCCGCGTGGCCCCGCCGCTGCCCAGCCGCAGCCCAAGCCCACCTGTGCGCCAGCCACTTGAGCAGCTGCTCCGGCTGGCTCTTCCACAACTCCCTCGGAATCTCCACCAGCCCAAAGCCCATCAGCAGCAGCCCCACGCTCAGCGCGAAGGTGTTGGAGAGGCCCATCCCTAGCGCCACGAGGTCTGTGATCTTGATCGTCTTCTCAACCACCAAAATCACGATAACGCCGATGACGCCTGCGGCGCCGGCGGCGCCGTACAGAATGCCGTTCTCCTGCAATTGTGAGCCAATCAGGGGCTCAAGGAGATGAGCGCCGAACTTTCGCGGCACGTCACACACCGCTTCGCACTTACATGTAACAGTGCAGGCAAGCGTTTTCCCAGTGGCACCCACGATTCATGGAGTGCCCTGCCAAGTCCACCCACGCCCCAGATAACGTTAGACTTTCAACGCCAGAATGAAGCCGCAGAAGCCCACCTTTATGGAGGTCCAGCAGCGGGCCCCCACGGTGAAGTCGCCCGCGTCAGCATAGACCTGGAAAAACGGCAGCACAAGCCACGTCAGCACCTGCGGTTGTGCATGGGGGGGGGGAGGCACATCAGCGATAGGAAGACGTGATGCAGATGTCAGGTTTTGAGAAGGTGAAGGCGGCCGCTGGAGCAAGAGCGCAGAGGAGGTTTCGGCAAAGAATGGGCGTCGGCCGTTCTCCTTTCACGCGATCTGCGCCGTCTGCACAACCAAGCGAACGCCTGCTGTCAGCGCCACTCGCTCGATGTCGGCCGCTGATATTCTCAGATGCTGCGCCCTGCTTTTTGGTGCACACCCAACCCCGATCGCATCCCAGAAGCATGCGTCGTCAGCGGGCTGAGCGCATGCGCGCCTGGGTAGACCAGAAGCACGTCTTCCACATTACATCAACGGCGATGTTGTCCGCCTTGCGGTTCAGGGTGGAGAACACATCAATGGGCACCAGAACCTGCGGCGGCACAGCACGTCCGCGGCAGCGGCGCGGGTGCGGAGGGCAGCACTGAACTAGCTGGACGCGGCAGCGCGCGTGTCGACAGCAGCGCCATCCCCCCCGCCCCAGTGGCAGCTGCACACTGCATGCCGTTGATGAAAGCGGACGGCTGCTGCCGTCTGCTGTGTACGCAGCGTTGGTTGGGGGAGCGCGCACCACCACAACAAAGGCCACGAGCCATGCGTAAGCCGTTGTCGCCTTCACCACGAACACCACGCTGGGCGCGGCGTAGCGCCGCAGCAGCAGGATGATGCATACCGCGACCGCCACCAGCGCGAGGGCGAAGAACGCCCACATCGCGCCGCGCCGCGCGGCGCGGCGCCGCTGTCAGAGCGCGGCGCGCTGCGCCGACGGGAGCGGAGTGGGACGGTCCCAGGACAGGCGGTGGCGCCGCTGCCTTTGCTGTGATGCCCGTTGATGTTGCGGCACTACGTATACTTTGCTGAGCCCCTCGGACAGCAGGTTCAAATACTCTTGTGTCTTCTGTGCCCGATGCTGATCGCGGCAGCAGCGTCTGCCCGCAGGGTGCTGGTTGTAGCGCGCGTCGACAGCGCTCGCCGCCCAGTGGCGCTGCGCGTGCCGGCGATGCTTCCACACCGCCCTGTGCGATCTCAACTACTTCGATGACTTTTTAGGCTGCTTCGTCTTCCTATATGTCCGCGGGCGTAGCCTCTGCCAGGTGTCCACGGGTCAAGTGATCGATGGAGTATGACGCAGACAATCGGTATCATGTGAACGTTTAGTACCAAAGTGTGATCTTTGATGTCTATTATCAGGTGCTGGCAGCTCGGTGCACAGCACCATGGTCCGAGGTCGGGTCTGCTGTGATGTGGCTCCACCCGCACACAACACATGGACCTTCCCGGCCAAGTTCAACGGACTGCCGCGGCGCTGCAATGCTGCCGATGAGTCTGTTGTAGAAGTGAATTGGTCGAAGGCGTGTGAGCGCTGGACAGATGTGAAGCGAAGGGTTCTGAGCTGCTTCAAATTCAAACGGAGGTTTGGCAGCAGGTTTGGGTCGGATGGACTGTAGAGGGTAAGAGGACGTGCAGGCAATAGGCTGCCAGAACATGTACACATTTCAGAATTAAGGCACCTCAACCGTGGATAGGCAGCTCCGCCCTTGGCGTTGTTGGGAGCTTTGCCGTCTATCGCAGCCTCGGCGGCATTTTCCGGTCCCGTCAGTCCCTCGTCGTGGCCTCCATGAAGGTCCGTCCTAAGCTTGTCCCTGGAGCTGCTCCGCCAATATTAGGTTGGTTAGGCTGCGGTGGTGGTGATGTTTGAATGGCAACTGCCACGCATGTTGTCAAAGCCCCTCCAGAACCCTGCTCAAGTGTGTGGCTTGCTGATCCCGCACTCGGACCTGGCAGTGTTGCCAAGACATGCTCCTGCATTCACAAACGCTGCTGGTCAATTTGATGTTGAACAGAAAGGTGTGTTGCCGTGCAAGCAAGTAGCAACCACGCAGCAGGACACTCTAAATCCTCGCTAGCCTCGCGAGCATGCAGTAAGAGGGAGGGGGGCTGCCGGTGGACTTGCTCAGCCCTGCGCCGCCCGCTACATGGCTGCTGCAGAAGCAGTAGGCTTGCCCCTGCCGTCTGGCCAAGCTGGTGTCAGCTGCATAGCCGCCTAGCAGCACCGCCTACTTTGACCCCTGCCGCCAATCGCCTGGCAGCTGTGGTGGCTCCAGCATGCAGGCTTGCTGTCGGCCACATGGGACCGGATAAGAATTTGGGCGCCACTCACAGCACAGCATTGCGGCCAACGGGACCCCCAGCAGCCGCAACAGGGATCCGCACCCCAACCCCTTGAACCCTAAGCCTGCAGCCTAGCTGTGTGCCCCGCATGAGCTCGCCCATTGCGGTCGCCCAGGCCAGGGGGTCGAGCTTGTTGCGCAGAAAATGCCAGGCTATTGCGCAATCATACTGCCCCGATGACGCTTTGATCAGGCTCTTGAGGCTCGGTCGTTGTGCTATTGCTTGGTGTAGTTGCAGCAAACGTAAATGTCAGCTAGGGCAGAACCAAGGCCCCGCTTGATGTAATTTTCTCGCTTGTCTCCAAACACTCATGCCCTGTACCTGGACACACTGCAGTCAGCAATACGTAGCCATGCAGGCAGGTACGTATGCAGACCACGCCCTAGGGAGCCAAGTAGGATTACATTTGCCGTGAAACACACAGAGGGAAAACTCCACATCAGTATCGTTCATGCATGCAGCCGCGTCCATCGGCCCCAGGACTCCTTGGGCTCCTGACAGCCTGCAAGCTCATGCGCCACCACTTCATGAACGACATTCCCAGCCCCGCGCCCCGCCTCGCGCCGCTCGCCGCGTCTCTGCTACCGCGCGCCTCCTCGTGCGCCGCCGGGGCACTGAGAAGGCGCAGCGGCCCCCGCCCCTTGGCGCCGCTGCCGCCCATTCCATCGCGGAGGGAGCCGCCAGGGCCGAGGCGGCTGCGCAGGGATGCAGGCGTGGCAGGCATCGCCTGCAGAGCGGGCTCAAGCTGCTGCTTGTCCTGGGCGGGGTGCTGCGGCGGCTGTGCATGGGCTTGCAGGGCGTAGTAGCAGGCGCGCAGCTGCCGCACGTAGTCATCCATATTAACCTCAGGCAAGCCGCTGCTCTCGCTCGCGGCCCCGCCCGCCGCTTGCTCGTCGGCGCGACGCGTGAGCGCGGCGCAGGCCGTGGCGTAAGCGGCGCCCGGATCGGGCGCTGGGGCCGACTGCTGCAAGGGCCCGAGGTAGCTCTCGTGGGCCAGGCCCATGCGGCCGTCCAAAGAGATGAGCTCATAATGTGCCTCTACCCGGTCCTCAAATGACACTTGGTATGTGCTCCGGCCACACCCGGCCGCCCACTGCTGTTCCACGGCAGCGACAGCCGGGTCCCCGCCGGTTGGGGAAGGGCTGGTGCGGGGCTTGAAGCCGCGTGCGCCCGGCTTACGTTGCGGGAGCTGCGGCTGGGAGTCATGGGTCCCAGCGTTAGAGGGAGACCCCCATGCAGCCTCGTCCCGCCAGGGCGCCGCCTTTTCGACTCCAAGCCCCGCCTGCCCCGCCGCTTTGGCAGTTGGGTCCGTTTCCGCCACCTCGCGCGTTTGGGCCCTCAGATCGTCAAACAAGTCTAGCAGATCGTCAATGGGCATGCTCTCAACTTCGCGCACACACAAGCCCTGCAACGGGTACTCCAAAACCTGGGGGCACTCGCACTCCCCTTCGACACACTCACGACCGCCGCGCCGCCCCAGCAGCGCGGCCGCAGCCGCCGCCAGCCAGCCGGACCGCCACCCCGGCAGACGCGGCCGCGGCGCGGGCGGCGCCGGCCCCGCCTCACGCGCCGCGGCGTCCGCGCTCGCGCGCCTGCTGTCGGCGGGCTTCGGGGCCTGCCTAGCGGGCGCGCGATGCTTGTCGGCGCCGTGGATGTAGCGGATTTCTCCAACTACATAGGGCCGGCCGGTCATCGGGTTGTAGTCAATCACGTCCACGGCGGGGCCCAGCTGGCGGGCGCCCCGCGTCCCCATGGCCG